CAAATAATAATAAATTTAAATCCATTCGTCCAAATCAAATAAATAACATATAGAACCATTAATTCACTCTATTTCATAGCAATTAACAAGAATTTCAAATTAAAAATTACTCTCTCCGTCCGGATTTTAAGTTCCTAATCTACTCTTTTTTTCGTCCGGAAATAAAGTTCCCAGTCTACGTTTTTATACCCACTCTTACTAAAATACCCTTTATCTCCCCTCTTTTTTCCCGTTTCTTTCTTCTTTTTCTTCTTTCTCTCTGTTCCTTTCTCCGCCACTCTCTCTCTTCCCCCTCCCCCTTCTTTTCTTCTCCTGGTTTCTTCTTCTTTCTCCTCCTCCTTTTTTCTCCCCTTTCTTTTCTCGACTAGATCTAGCTATCATCTTCCCTCTTCCCCCTCTCCCCTTCTCCTCTTTTTCTTCTTCTCATTCTTTTTCTCAAAGCCTCTTATTTTTTTCAGATCTGGAAGAACACAAGTTGCCCTGTTGTTCTTCGATTCTGCGCTTATCAGAGAAGAGGATTCAATTGAAGTTGTGCAGAGGAGACAATTCAAGTCCATACTCCATTTGAGCAGAGGAGTTAATTCTTGATCCCAATTAAAGTTGTGGAGAGGATTCAATTCTTGAAGCCCCTTGTTTGAGCAGAAACATCGATTGAAATTGTACCCTTCTTTGATCGTGCAGGTGTCCATTGTCTTTTGTTCCATAGAAATTCCATGGAAAAACGTAGGTGGAGTAAATTGAAATCGGATTTGTGCAGCAGAGAAAGATAGGGGTATTTTGGACAAATTGTACACAAAGTCAAATTCCACTAAAAATGAGCAAAAGTCAAACCGGAAACTTTAAATCCGGACGGAGGGAGTAATAATTAACCCTAGATTTTAAATCTAAAGAATGAAACAATGAAAAAAATTAAGAAATAATCATGGAAATACGGAATACCTGGAGGCGGGAGCTTGAGAGTTGGCGTCCGGCGGTGCGTCTGGCGGCGGCGGCGGCGGCGGCGGCGGCGGCGGCGTATCTGAGTTCCGTCGGTTCCGTCGTCCCTGCCCTTTCGTGCGTCTCTCACTCTCTCCCGTAACTAAGGGTTAAGAGAAAGATTGGGCCTGGCATCTTATACATACACATATAAAATATTTGAAAAATATTTGGGCCCCTTAATTTTTTGGGTCCGGGCCGGTAGGACCATTTGTCCTCCAATTGGGCCGGCCCTGATATAGACCATTTTAATTTTGATTCTTGTAATTATTTTGTTTAAATCATCTTTGCAAAAAAATTTATTTTGAAAATAAAATAATTAACACTTCTAATTAGTTGAAATAACATATTTAATTCATAATCAACATTCTAGTCTTAGATTTTTAATTGGAAGAACTCCCTACATAGGAGTAAGAATTTTGAAAATACTAAAATGAAAATCTTACGTCTTTTAAGACCAAAATATGAGTTTACTCTGTCATTGTTAAACTGTCACACTCACTACACTTTGTCCAATTTAACTCGAAAAGCTAAATGGGATGAATACCTTGTGATATGTAACACAAATTAAGAGTCATTACATGAATCCAAATTGTTTGTCAATGGACTCTATAATTATGTAGCGACGTCCATATTGTTTCTAGACCCTTTAAATAACTTAAGAAGAGATCGTTGCAATTTGTTTATATTTAATAATTAATGTTTTTATTATCAAAAAATAACAATAGTTTAAGAATTGGATTGTGGGTTGTAGTTGAATGTACACAATTTTACATAATTGTAACAAAAACTTAAAATGGAATATAAATTCCTTATTTTTGGAGCCATGTGAAGTTGAACGAGTCTGACAAATCAAAAACTACCCGTGTTATTACTTATTATGAACCCGTTTGGCTACAGTTTTAAGGTTTAGTTTCCCTATTTTTATTTGAAAAGATATTCTAGTTATACGGAGTAACGTTTATTTTTTTACTTTTATAAAGTTAATTAGAACCAATAAAAATTGTTCAAAATGTAGCGCTAATAAAAAATGATATTCTCAAATAAGATCTCAAATAAGATCTATGTTTGCATTTTCAAGATTAAATATATGTAACATGGATTATATGTTTCTAAAACGAAAGCAAACATGGAGTATGATGAAGAAAAATCTTGTATTGGCAAATATGGAGTATCTTTTTATGGGAAAGAATAACAGTAATAATGCATTTATGAATTGAATCTTGGATCCTCAAAAACACAATAAGGTCTTGTTTTTTTGTGTTAGAATTTTAGAGTTGGATGCTGGAAGAAACTAGAAAGAGTTTGAAAAAGTTAGAAGTAAGAAAATATTAGACGAATTAAAGTGTTATAAAATCACTTAATTAAATAATCACCCAAATAAATATGTAAGAAGAAAATCTAATTTTAGATTAAAAAATTCATCCTTGTCTGTATTTGAGTGTTATGTTATAAATTTAGATATATCATGTTATTCTATATTGATCATATATAAATAATTTTTTTAAATCATTGTTGGAAGAAAGTTAAAAAAAATTGTAATGAACTAGAAGAAATTAGAAAAAACTAAAAAGAAATGAAAGTTAATTTTTCCAATCCAAAATAGGAGGGCCTAAATGGAGAAGTAAAGCCTAGCTGTGCCTGGAATGCTCAAAATCGCAGCAGGAAAATGATTCTCAAAGGAAATACTTAATCCAACGGGAGCAACACAATAAATTATACTCCAAATTGCTACCGAGTAATAGAATAATAATTTCAATAGGCTTTTGCTACAAAAAAAGTTTCCAAATTCTATTTTATTGTGTCAATATAGAGACTTCCTAACCTTTAGGGTCCGTTTGATATACGGAATTGATGCAATTGGAATTGAATTGGAATTGAAATATCATGGGATTCAATTCCATAAAAATTGAATTCACCAATTCCAATTCATTTTTTTGCACTATCAATTCCAAATCCACATAATTTTTATACTACCAAACACCAAAATTGGAATTGAAGTCCTCAATTCCAATTCCATAGTTTGAATTCCATATACCAAACGGTGCCTTACTTTTTTTAATATGCTCCACGGTCTTAATTGAACAAAATTAACATAATCAACTAGTTAGGTAACTATTTCCTCCGGTCCTGATGGGTGCATTCTCACCTGGGACCTGAACCGGATTGAATACTACCAAAACTAACCGAGTGGTTCTTGCGCCGTTCGCGACGGGGAAATTGGGGGGAGCCCCATTCTGACCGGTAGGGTCTCAAACCACCTGGGAGGGTTGACCCACACGGTACTACCGATCAAAAAGCTTGCCTTGTTGGAATGATCCTTAGATCACCAAAACATCCTTTGGAAGAAACTACCCGACTGAGTCAACTGGACGTGTAAGCATTGGCAGCCTGGCGTGCTTGGACATGAGCAGTTTGGGAACGACATGGCAGGGCAGATCCCCTACACCAACGTATACATTCGAGCATTCCGGCCAAACGCTACATGCCAAGGGGACAGTGGTAGAGCATAACAGTAAGAGTGCAGGGTCAAGCGCTACGAGATGAAGTACTGTCGGATCAAACATCCAGTCACATAACTCGCACGTGAGACGAAGCGCTATCAAATCAGGAACCTAGTCACATGACTCGCATGTGGCTAGGCATGGGCACCTGTTGGCCTGTCCCCCTACTCCACATTATAAATCTGCTTCTAACCTTCAATAGAAGGGATCTGAATTTTATCTCTCTGGAGCATATTACGTAATTTCTCCCTGTGCTCTTCCTATATTTAATAACAATTGGGATATGAGTGTTCCCACCAACAGTTCTCCTGATCAATCTCCATTTCTTGAGTTCTTTCAGTTCCTAAACTTAGCAAACCACCTTTACACCATCATTTTTGTCGCCACCCGTGGGACTCATACCCAATACCACGGGTGGTAAAAACCATTTAAGTTTTGACTTTTTTGGTCAAATAGTAACATTTTGACTACAAATTGTGAGAAAAATATATTTAATTATAATATAAATTCAATATATATAAATTTATTTTAGAAATTATAGTTTTGATGTATCAAATTTTGTGATCAAAGAAAGTCATTGTTTGACCAAAAAAGTCAAAACATGAAAAGCTTTTAAGACCAGAGGGAGTACAACATTACCTTTTTATTGTTTTTATATGGGAAAAATTAAGAACCTATTCTTAAGATTTAAACTCTCAACTATTAGTTTCTTCCAGTTCCTAGTAGTTTCTTCTAGTTTTTTTCCAATTTCTTCTAATTTCTACCAACTATTCTCATTTTTCTTTAAACTTTTTTTACTCTCCAAACAATTACTCTCAAAATAATTTATTTAAATGTGATTATTATTATTATTATTATTATGTTCATAACTATAGTTTATAAATTATTTTATTTTTTATCTGAAAAGAATAGAGAAAAAGAAAAATAAAGAGGGAAAAGGAAAACAATGAGCAAAAAACGCCGGAAAAAAAAGCGGAGAAAAAAGGGGCCTCACCTTTCTCTTTACTAGACTCGTACCCGTGCATTGCACGGCCAGAAAATGAAGTTACAAATTTATGTAAAAGTATTATTACCACGTATAAAAAATTTATTGATATAAAAATAATAATTACTTACTGTTGTGCAATGCAAAAAAAAATACTCTCTGTCCCATTTTAAATTGCATGTTTGCCTCTTTTCTCCGTCCCAAAATAAGTTACATGTTACTTGTTATCGTAAATTTTTAAGAGTAAAATATCTATACTACCCCTAAAATAAGTCACTCTTCTTCACCTTATATTCTCATTCATCGTCACCTCTCCTAAAAAGTAATGACAATTTCAAAAACTCAACTCTATTTTTTCTCTTCCTTAAATATGTCCTAAAGTCAAAATAGGTAATTTAAAATGGGACAGGGGGAGTATAAATGAAGAAAATATTATACAGAATAACTCATTAGATATAGAGATGCACAAAAGTATATTCTTGATACAAAATATCAATAATATAGATTCAATGCATAAATATTTCTTCAGACTTTTATTCGACAACTTTTAAGGTCTTGATACAAAATATCAATAATATAGATTCAATGCATAAAAATTTCTTCAAACTTTTATTGGGTAAATTTCACAAATGGTACCTGAACTTTAGCTGGAATTTCGAAGTAATACCTGAACTTCAAATCCTTTCACAAAAATCCCTGAACTTACACAATCCTTTCACTAATGAGCCATTAGCCCGTTTCTAGGTTAACTTCCGGTCATTAGGGCCAAATTCGAATTTTATATATTTTAAAATTTTCAATTTGACCCCATTTCTTCTTTTCTTTTCTTCCACGCCCCGCCGCCGCCGCCCGCCGGTCAAAGTCGCCGGAAAATGAACTTTTTCCGATTCCGGCGGGACCAATGTCATTCTCTTCGTATTGAGACGAGGATCAATAATATCCAAACCATTTTGTCTAATTTGGCCTGTAACTTCTCGAATCTGAATTTTTCTACTCGAAAAAACCCTAAAATTCGAAATTGGATCCAAAATTGGGGGTTTTGCAAATCTTCATCAAATCTTGCAATTGATGGGTCCTTGGAGGTCGCCCGGATGCCACGACCGCATTGGAGTTGGTGCCCGCCGTCAATTTCGCCGGATTTAGCTCGAAAACGCTCCGACCCGCCGGAAACCGCCGCATTGGGTCTGTAATTATCTACAAATTTTATTAAAGTTATTTTCAATTCAAATTATTTATAAATTGGTGTGAATTTAAAAACTTCTTAAAAAATCTATAAAATAAGAGTTCATAGGAATGTTATTATTTTATAAAATAAATCATAAAAATTGGTAAAGAAAGTGAACCAGGTTGAATTTGGTAACAATGTTGGAAAGGGTTGTTTCCTTTAAACTTGATTCAATTAATGGGCAAAATACGTGGTGAAAAATAAAATCTTAAATTAGGAATACGCATAGTGAAATTTGCATTAAATAGGACTAAAATATAATGACTTTCCTAATTTAGGATTTAAACTTTTTTATTCTCTAAATAGGACTTATTAATGTCTTAGTGGGTTGAATAATGTCCAGTAATGATGAATATTTATTTGAATAATGACTAATTCATAATGACCAAAAGTGTTACATTGGGAAATAAAACATATGGTCCTATATTGAGAAACTATGTTTTAAGTAAATTACTCATATGCATATACCAGAGTGGTAGTAGGATTGTGATAAATTCCCGACGCCTTAGCACAGACAGTCCTATTGGTGCTAGGAAATAAGAATCCTATCAGTTCAAAGGTATTTTCGTCGAAGCATCCTCCTTTTTCTATAAATAGCTATATATATATATATATATATATCGAAGACACACAAAAGAGACTGAAATTACATTCTTTCAAGAAAACCTCTAGCTATATCTCAGAGTACTTGTTCATTCAAGAAAACCTCTATTCATTCTTCACCTCTAGCTATTCATTCAAGAAAACCTCTAGCTAGATCATAGATTCATAGTTCGTACTTGTTTGACAGAGAACATGTATAGGGTAGCTGGGGCATCAGAGTACTTGGCCATTACAGGCTTGGGGATCCATGACGTGAAGATTGCCAAGAAGGCATGGGTTTTACCCGGACAGTTGTGCATGAGATTCGACATCTCCCCGGTGAACTACACCTTCGAAGTCCAGGCGATGAGCGCCGAGAAGCTCCCGTTCATCCTCCCAGCCGTCTTCACGATCGGCCCTCGGATTGACGACCCTGAGAGCCTCCACAAGTACACCAAGCTCATCGCCCCCCACGACAAGCACTCCAACCATGTCAACGAGCTCGTCCAGGGCATCATCGAGGGTGAGACCCGTGTCCTTGCCGCCTCCATGACCATGGAACAGATCTTCAAGGGCACCAAGGAGTTCAAGAAGGAGGTTTTTGAAAAGGTCCAGCTCGAGCTCGACCAGTTTGGGCTCCTCATTTACAATGCTAATGTCAAGCAGCTGGTCGATGTCCCCGGGCACGAGTACTTCTCTTACTTGGGCCAGAAGACCCAGATGGAAGCCGCCAACCAAGCCAAGGTCGATGTGGCCGAGGCCAAGATGAAGGGAGAGATCGGATCCAAGGAGAGGGTGGGGGAGACCCTTCAGAATGCAGCCAAGATTGACGCCCAGACAAAGATCATATCCACTCAGAGGGAAGGGGAAGGCAAGAAGGCCGAGGTGCGCGTGAAGACCGACGTGAAGGTGTACGAGAATGAGCTGGAGGCGGAGGTTGCCCAGGCGAACTCTGAACTGGCCAAGAAGAAAGCCGCGTGGGCGCAGGCGGCTAAGCTTGCAGAGGTGGAGGCAAGCAAAGCTGTGGCAATGAGAGAGGCAGAACTGCAGAAGGAGGTGGAGAAGATGAATGCTTTGGGCACAACGGAGAAGCTCAAGGCTGAGTTCTTGAGCAAAGCCAGCGTTGAGTATGAAACCAAGGTGCAAGAGGCAAACTGGGAGCTGTACAAGAACCAGAAAGAGGCAGAGGCAAAACTCTTCCAGAAAGAAAAGGAGGCAGCGGCGCAGAGGGCTATAGCGGAGGCAGAGCTTTTTGCTTGCCAGCAACGAGCAGACGGAGAATTGTACAGCAAGCAGAGGGAGGCAGAGGGGATGGTGACCCTCGCTCAGGCTCAGGGGGCATACTTGCGCACGCTGCTGGATGCATTGGGAGGAAACTATGCTGCATTGAGGGACTACTTGATGATCAACGGCGGAATGTTCCAAGAGATTGCGAAAATCAATGGCGAGGCCGTCAGAGGGCTTGCGCCTAAGATTAGCATTTGGAACAATGGCAGTGAAGCTGGAGATGCAAGCGGCGGCAATGGGGCCATGAAGGAAGTTGCAGGTGTCTACAAGATGCTTCCGCCTTTGTTCAAGACTGTTCATGAGCAAACTGGGATGCTGCCACCTGCTTGGATGGGTACTTTGGCTGACTCGGAGGCATAGAATTTCTCTCTACTTATATTTCACTATTTAAGGTTTTCCCTGCAATTGTTACTGGTAGGATATTTGAACTGCTTTTTCTGATTGCTGTTCTCGGTTGTTGGACATGGTTGGCAAATACTCGTGACCTTAGACATGAATTATGATGTCTGTATATTACCAAGCATATGGACTTAAATAGGAACATATGAACATCTAGGACTCGAATAGTTAAGTATACCCTTGAGCCTTAAAATGTGGTTTTTGGTCGTGCATTTGTGTGCTTTATGTGCTTTGGGTCGGTATGTGTGCTCACTGTTCGTGCTACTATGTTTACTTTGTATGTGCTTCTGTGTTTGAGCCGGGAGTGTTTTGAAAACAATCTCCCTACATCCGAGAAGGGGTAAGGTCTATCTAAACATACCATCCATAGACTACTTTTTGTAGGATTGTAGTGAATTTGTTGTTGTTGTTGTTGTTGTTGTAGCACCATTTTAGACAAGGAATCAAGTTAGTAGTAAAGCAAAAAAGGGGGAAAGAACAAACCAGAATGATTCCATTGTTTCATTCAGTTAACTATCCTGATATGATAAGACATCTTCTGTTTTTTAAGTCCAATCCTTTTCTGCAAAACGAATTCAAGGCTAAGGTTATGTTTGGTTAGAGATGAGATAAGAGTATGTTCGGTATAAAGTATAAACATTTTACTACAGTAAAAGTGCTCACTTTAACTGAATAAATTTAACAATTAACAGCCACAACAATCTGACTGTTTGACATGTTAAAAACGGGGAGTAGTATCATCTGCTTCTGTCTTAGATTGTATACTGTTTATCTGATATTAGTAACAATCATTTACATAGGCTGTAAAATAAGGAAGACAAACACACAGTAGGTGTACTTGAATAGTCAATATATTTGCAATCATCAAAAGAACAATATTTTCAGCACACAATTTTTGAAGTCTATGATTGTCTCTTTGTTCTGTCACTTACTCACTTATGTCCATTCTTTGATATGGTACACTATATAAACCATTCTGTAAACTACATCTCATGAACTCCCAATTGCAAGAGAATACAATAAAGTTGTGTCATCTAGGCCAAGGCAAATACCCAAACAGATTTTTAGTAAAAAGTATAATTGCACAGTACACACTACACACATCCAATAGGTATAGTCATGTTAGGCACACACACACTACCATTTGAGGTTGTAGTAATAGGTGTGGTTGGATCATTGGATCCATCGATATTCAAGAATGCGTAAATGGGATATAAAATGCTAAATATGATATTGATATGAACACGGAACACAAGGACATTTAACTGGAAAACAGATCGGTGAAAATCCAGGGCACTTGAAAATTTGATCGAATATATTGAAACTTGCAGTACAGAAATGAATGGAACATTGAAATTTCTAAGAGAGAGAAGCTTCTCAAGCAAAAATTTCAGTCTCTTCCCAGGCCAAATTGCAGACCCGAATAGAAATGAGTAAGAATTTCATCAAATACAAGAATTAATTCCAATTAGGCACATAAACCCACTGCAACTGAAACATACCTGGATTCAGCTGGTGGTGGGAGACATCGGCAGTGGCAGGGGAAGTCAGACGCAGTTAGGGATGTTAGCGGCGGCGGGGGGGCTACGTCGTTGACTTCTGCGGAAGGTTGCGCCGGTGGATGCTTTCGACACCGGAGTCGTCCCTGATCAAATCTGTAACTGACTTTTGACTTTTGACTCATAATTAAATAAATTCCAATTAGTCAATAGTTTTTCAACTTTTGACTCATAATTAAATAAATTATATATTTTATATTAATTAGATATTATAGCATTTTGGAAAAATATATATAATAAATCTTATTTTAGGATAAAAATATTATGAAATGTTCCCATACAATGTCACGTTATTATAGTACAAACTCTTATTTTAGAATAAAAACGTGGAATTTCTATTTTGATATTTTCTCTATGTTTTATATTTATTTAGGGTGATTTTTTTAGATCAAATTTACAAATTTTACATCTCTCTTTTTGATATTACAGCATGAGTCATTAGTAAACTAAACATATTTTGTTCTTAATACTCAATCCATTGACTAGATAGCATATAGACATTATTAACATCAACCAATAATAAATCATTTCAAAAGATTTATCTGATATTTTATTTTATTTTAAATATATGTATCTAAAAGAGAAAACTATTTAACAAAAATTAAAAACATGTATTATGTACTAAAAATGACTTTAAATGTTTTAATATCAAAATAGAATTTGTAATGCCATATATAAAACTTGTTTTGTATTCATAGAATCATAGTTGATTGAATCGTGTTTAGGGTTTCCTTTTTTCATAACACCCACACTTTAATAGCCACTATTTTTTTACTGACCACGGAGAATATTATCCCATTGGAATACTTACAATGCTCCATCAACAAAATTAATAGCCAAAAATTCACGTTTTATGATGGGTGTATTCCCACCCATGACAGAAACCGAGTCACACACTACATTGATCAACCGAGTGAATCAAAGAGCGGTTCCTTGGAAGGAAATTAGGATAATGCTAGGATTTGACTGGGTAGTTCTAACCACATGAGTGTGTTGGGACTTTTGACTTTGTCGACTAGGAAGCAAATCTCGATGTAGGAATCCTCTAACTATATAGGCGATCCTTTCAGAGGAGCCACCCAGGTAGTTTTTGGGGGCTCGCGCATATCAACAGCTTCGCGTACTTTGGAGGGTAGCGTTTGGAAGGAATCGGATCCTTTGCACCGACGAGTACATCCAAACACTACACGCTAAGCCGCAGTAAAAGGCAATTGGAGAAAGAGGACAAGCGCTACAAGACAAGAACTTGTCGCCTCACCACGTGGCCCAACATGGACGCGCGGTATGTGTACCCCATCATTTTATATACTAAAAATGACTTTAAATAAAACATGATAGCTTCAAAATAAATATTATAGTGCTCTGTTAACAAAATTAATAGCTTCTTCCACCTTAACCTTCTCGATAACCCTCTTATCGAGTCTCGATCTCAATTTGTCCTGTCACATTATTTACGAAATGTAAATTTATTTGATTTTACACTCACGTTATGAAAACTATCAACTTTAGAATAGAAACAGAGTGACCGTAGAACAAGGTTGTTTTTCATATAACCAAACAATGTTTATGTTTATAAGATAAATGTAAGGGATGTGATGTCAATTTTGGGTTAAAATGGAGTATCAAGTTTAAATGGAGTAATTCATTTTCTACCCTTTTATTTCTGGAAATTTACAGTGGCAGTATAGCCTCACGATCTCACAAGTCACAAACTGAAAGTAGTGGGACGATCGGAAACCCTAGCAGCAGTAGCTCGTTGCACCACTCTTCTCTCATCTGAGACTTCTCCCTGGATTTGAAGAGATATACATACACTCACCTGTATGTATATACCATAGATAGTTCCACTAAGAGTTTTCGAAGAAATGGCATCAATGGCGATCCTAACTCGTTCTCGACCGATTATCAGAACGGCGTCTCAAGGCCACAGATGCATCGCCACCTTCCCTTTCCTCTCGCAGGAAGCTCAGCTCGCGGAGGTTTCATCTGCCGCGATTCCGCCGCCCGCTGCGGCTGCCCTTCCGCCAAATCCGGTGTCCGGCAGCCAAATGTACACCAACAACCGGCTCCATTCGGGTTCTACCATCGTCCCGCTGAGTCTCATGCAGCAGTCTGCGTCCCATCGCATTCAGTCCCTGGCCCATACTCTGGACGCGCAAGGTCTGATAGATTACTTCAGCAATTGGATGACGGAGTCAAAGTGGATGGATTTGAAGCAGTTGTTCGAGTTCTGGATCAGGTCGCAGGACAAAAATGGGAAGCCCAACAAGCCCGATGTCAACCTATACAATCACTATTTGAGGGCTAATCTGATGCTCGAGCTTCCTGTGAAGGATTTGATTACCTTAGTGCATCATATGGAGGATTTCGGGCTTCTGCCCAACGCAGCATCTCAAAATTTAATCTTGAAGGCCATGTACCAGTCAAAAGATCCGGCTGCATACGTAGAAGCAGCTCAACAGTTGATAGAAAGGTTCGTATCAGATTAAGTTTATTGCCTGTTGAAAGGTGCTACTATTTTGTTTTCCTTTTTACAGTATTAAACTATTTATAAATATCTTTTTTCTTTTTTCTGCATTACATTATTATGAAGTTATATCGTATTGGTAGAGACTGAAACCTTTAATTTAAATAAGGCCTGCTATCTATGATTGGCTGAAGTTTTATATCATAGAGCTGAAAACTCGGGACTTCAATTACAGCCGACCCATCAGAGTCACACAAGTTGGCGTATGGGGGTGGGGCTGTTGTTGTTGGGTGTGGAGACTTTACCCAAACTTAAAGCCATAGACGGTCTTTTACAAAAGACCGAGTATTCTTTCGTGTAAACAAGTACAAAATTGTGAGCTCCATAAAAGTTTTGGCACAATGTTTTGGGATGAATAATGATTTGTTTTTTTATAAAGTGTATGAGAGACAATCTCCAAGGTTTAACATTTTATGACGATAAGACTTGTACTTGTATGGTACTTCACTTACAATATTTACAATGCATTTCTTTAGTTATCTAAATATGAGTTGTGTTTTGATTTCATATAAAATGAAAGACACTCAGGCTCTAAGGAGTATAAAATTGTAATTTATTTGATACTTGATTCACAGACTCTTTTCCTCTAACTTCAAAGAATACCAATACAGATCATATGCAATAGTCATGGTATTTTGAGGTGTGCTAGTTGTGGGAGTCCACAGCTAGTTGGTCTTTTGTCATGGAAAGGCACAATGGATCTGTACACCCCAGAGCTGACAGATGATCAAATCATTTTGAAGCCAACATGGATGCCTTGGACACTGGTCTTTTATTGTTATGGTTTTACTCCCTACATTTTCCTTCTGAGTGAGATGCCTGGTGGGCCTATGAAGACTATTTTGAGTTTAGACTTGATAATGTGTTCATTTATTTTCTTGGAAATATGTTTTATATTTTTTTGTTTGAGGTATGCTTAATTTATTATGCATTTACTAGGATGCTCGAGATTGGAAGGGAGAACAAAGATTCTTTGCCTGATGACGAGTCCTTTGACTTGGTTATTGACTTGCATTTTAGAGCAAATCAGGCAGATGCTGCCTTTAAGTATGTTGATTTTGTTTTAAAGTCGGGGTACACTATGTCATTAAATGTATTCAACCAGTGCATACGGAGATGTATTGAAGGAAACAGGCTAGATATGTTGGTATCAATCATAGAGAGATGCAAGGTACATGCTTTTGCATATCGCAATGCAACCACTTTTAGCTGTTGGAGAAATGAATTATATAAGCTGACACTTCACTTTTGGGTGCTTTCAGAAAACCGAACAGAACAAAAAGGTGATCCCATCCTGGAACTTATGCAACCAATTGGCAGATCATGCAATAAAGGCAGATAACAGTGAACTAACCTTTTCCGCACTGGACTTCTTTGTGAAGTGGATTGTTAGAGGACAAAATGTTAGGCCCCCCGTTTTACTTTCTGTAGATGAAGGAATGATAGTAGCTGCACTTGGAACTGCTGGTAGAAACTTTTCTCCTAAACTTTTGACAGGTTCTTGGGAAGTCCTAAAGCGATCGCTACGTGAGTCAAGGGCTCCTAGTCCTGAAGCTTATCTTGCTAAGATCAATGCCCATGCTTTGATGGGTCAGTTGCAGAATGCTTTTGCATCACTGCATGAATTTGAGAAAGCCTATGGAAAGTCCATAGATGGCGAAAGGGAGGAATTGTTTTCACCTTTTTCCTCTTTGCAGCCACTCGTTCTTGCTTGCTGCACCAATGGGTTTGCAACTTTGGATACTGTATGTTCTCTGCTTTTTTCTCAAGAATTATTGATTGATGAGATGATTAGTGAAGTTCTTTTCCTTCAGTTTTTAGAAGTTGAAATAAATGTTGCAGTTGTTTACATATGAAGCAGAATATAAGCTTCTGGAGAGAATATATCCAAATAGTGTGCCTGTATGGATGTTAGCATGAACGTGTGTGTCTGTGTGTTGTGCTTAAATGAACCTGAAGCTACATTCAATATCTTGCTTATCTCTTTAGCCATTGCTTGTTTCTGCTTATCATTTTCTTGGTGCATCTGTAATTCACAGGTTTACTATCAACTGGAGAATTTAAGCCGTGCTGAAATCCCTTATAAGTCTGTTGCTGCCCTAAACTGTGTCATTTTAGGATGTGCCAATATATGGGATATCGACCGTGCTTATCAGACTTTCACAGCAATTGATTCCTCATTTGGCCTGACACCTGATATCCATTCATACAATGCTTTGATACATGCTTTTGGGAAGCTAGGGAAGGTAATTGTCCAAGTTGACAGCTGGAATTGCTAGTCGATTCTGCTTCTGGTCATTTTGTTTCTAGCATTAGGTTGAATAGAGAGCATTTGACACTGGTTAATGGTTGATCTGCTTCATTTTAAGACATCATTAACTTAATAGATGTTAAGGGGTTGATTATTTGTTTTTCATCTTTAAAAAAACTATTTTCTGCCTTCGTTAGTGGTTACAGTTTTTCTCTCTTGTTCCCTAGAAAAATGTCAATTTTTTTCCTTGAAATTTCATATAAGGTATTTTTAATGGACTTTGTCATTTTACGTGTTTCATTAAATATATAATGTGACAGAGTGATGATGCAACAAAGGTGTATGAACACTTCACTGGATTAGGAGTGAAGCCAAATGCTACAACGTATTCACTACTTGTCGATGCTCACCTCATTAAGCGAGACCTAAAGACAGCCTTATCCCTTGTTGATGAAATGGTGATTTTTTATGTTCCTGAAAATTTACTGCTGTAATTAGAAATGTGGTAATTAATACTCCAAGCTTCATGTGCAGGTGCAGGCAGAGCATATTCCGACAAGAGAAATGCTAAAGAAGATCCGAAGGCGATGCACGAGAGAGATGGACTACGAAGCTGATGACAAGGTGGAATCAATCGCCAAACAGTTAAATATTCCATTGGGTTCTGAGACACGCCGGAACTTGCTGTTTGAGCTTCAGTACAGTGGTTAGAGAGCATGCATGGAAATGACAGTACAGTCCTCAAGCAATTTAGGAGATTGCTGCAGATTTGCTCTATGTTTTGCTTCCAAGGGAGTGCTGAATTATATAATCGCCTTCCGAATCATCGATAAGGCACCAATACCTACTCATATTTGATAGTTTTGTGTAGCAAAGTGCCCTTCCATTCTTTTTTCAGTTAGTTTTTTTGCACTATATATTTCATGGCACATCAAGTCATTGATCTTATTATTGCTCTTCTGTTTTTCTCCCTTGGTTTTTGTTTTGTAAATTACTATTAATAATGGGTTTCTGTTAGAGTATATAACAATGGCCACAACCACAAGCTTGAGCTATCATTCCTGGGCCACAACCACAAGCTTGAGCTTTTGGTTGAGTTGATTCCTTGATAGTTTCTGGGCTTTTTGTTTTACTCGCCCATCTTGTCCCTCCGTCTCCCAGTTTTTGTTCACTGGACTTTTGGAGCTGTTCATTTAAACACTTTGACTCATCAAATTCTCTCAATGTGTAAGCCTAAATATAGTCATGTGTGATCTTATTTGATTTGTCTTAACATATAGATTATTAATATATAATTTCTATAATTTTTTAATATACAAATTACAAGATAAAATGGATTAAAAAAATGTATTGGATGGTGTGTAAAAATTAAAGTGGACAAATACTCTGGATGGAGGGAGTATTTTTTAAATTATCATTTTTAACAAGTCTGTACTGAAAGATTCTAACTTTTCAATGTGGTTTTTAGCCATTGTGTGTTCTTTTAATTTGTTCTCTTTATAATCAACCCGGGTTTGCGAGCTTGGTAGTTAAGGTGAATCAATCAGTAAAAAAATTAGGCTATACTCCCTCCGTCTCAATTTATAATGCCTGTATTCCTTTTTCGTCCGTCCCAAAATGATATGCCTGTTTCCTTATTTGGTATGATAAATGTTGTGTACTTCCCAAAATACTCTCCATCTAATTACTCCTACCCAACGACTCATCTTCCCTCATTCATTCTCGATCTTATCTTCTGCGTCCCTCCCCTTTCTCTGGCAGACATAATCCTCATCGTTCCTCTTTCATCTTCCCTGCGTCTCTCCTCTTTCATCACTTTCCTCTCACAGATCTGCTCTTTCATCCTTCTCGTCTTCTATCCTTTCATCTTTTTCCTCTGTCCTTTCATCTATTCTTGTTTTTCTGGAATTTGGATCTAGGGTTTTTCTTTTCTGATCTGCGATTCAGATCTAGGGGATACCCGACCCCTTTGAGATCTAAAGTTAGTTTTTTCTCACATTTATGTATATTAATCTTATTTCAACAATCTAAATAATGTTTTCATTTGTTTTTTTGCGTAGATCGCAGAGATGGATGGAACAGATGATGAAATGGATTTCTCATCTGCCCCTACTACTCCAGATTCATACGAATCAGAGCTCGAATATGTTTTTGACGAGATTCGTATTGAAAAGCAGATGGAAATGCTGAGGGAAAGGCTTGCTGCCTATTACAAGCCCAAAGAGGATGAGCCTGAAGAGGTAAAGAAGAAAGAGGATGAGGATGATGATGACACCCAATCCGAGTCCTACGAATATAAAGAGGGGGATGATGTTCTGTGGGAATATTTTATCTCAGATCCAAAGCGACGCTACAAAGACTTCTAGGGGAGTATTCCTTTCTTTTTATGTGGGTGTAATATTTCAATTATGTGTCTCCTTATGTGCTTTAGTCTACTTCCAGGCACTAACTGGGAAACTAATGATGACAATTTGCACTGAATTTTGCCATATGATTATATACATGCGTGGTGATTGTAATTTGCTTATGGTGAGTTTTGTGATGTTTCTGTCTGTCTTATGGAACCCTAATCTGTATTCTTAAAGCCACCCACTTCAGACTAGTGTAGGAGGTAACAGTGAGTGGCCTCCCACTATATGTAATGTGTTTGGAGGTTTTAAGAATATGAACAAACATACATTCATCCCAAAAAAATGTTTGCTTACAAAATACTGCCCAAATTACTTCCCCTTCAGGACCAAAGATAGGCCTCCCTACTGCACATAAGTGCATCAGTCTGGGAATGTGAGCTTTACTTTTAGCTGTCCTATGGGGCTCTCTTTCCCTTTCAGTTTTATACACTCTCAATGATTGTTTGGACATTTCAAACCATTTTTCATCCACATGAATAGTACAGGAAAAATCTTTAAAAATGGGAGAGTGTGGAAGGGATTCTGGAACAAATTGGTTTAACATGAAAGCTAACCTTTTCAAGTTGTTCTCTTCTGTGAGGAAAGGTTTGATAGCATTTGTGTGGCTTTGTAGTTGCCCTTTTTGTATGCACCTATGTAGTGTGGATTTTGGTACTTGTATGGCTGCAGAGAGTGAGCGTATGTTTGTTCTTCTGTGGAATGGAATGGTCTCTATCTGTTCCAAATTTAACTGCACTCTTTTTCTACCAACGATGCCAATCCTGTTGTTACTTGCATCCAAAACAGACTCATCCATAAGTTGGTTACGACATGTACGCCAAAGTGAACTAACACTTCTACGGCATACATTGAAGTCGTTCATGATTTGTTTAATTGTGCCGTGCTGAAGTTTCCCGTTAGTCGTCTTGTGAAGCAAACAATCTAGGATTACTCTCCTTTCCATATTCGTTAAGTTTCTCCTGGTTTTTTTAAGTGGAGGACTGACCTCTTCTTGCTGTTCTTCTTCTTCTTCTTCTTCTTCTTCTTCTGTGACAGGTGCAGCCCGAGAATTTCGTTGAAGTGGTTGAAGGCTTGAAGATGATCCAGGGGCTGTTTGGCTGGAGTTTTGAAGGAGGGCAATGTATTTTCCATTTTTTGGGATTTGGCAATGGATGATCCAGGGGCTGTTTGGCAATAGATTTGGCAGTTTTATTTTTGGTGTGTAATGGAGGGAATTTTTCCCTCCAAGACTTTGGTTGGATGTGTACTTAGATTTGGTGATGGATTTGGTGAATGTAATGATTTGTTTGGATATTTTATTGTGATGTGCGTGTATGTGTAGCTGGAACTGTTTGTGATTTTTTGGTTTGTTCATTATTTCATTTTTAGCTTCAAATATTTAAAAAATTAAGTTAGGGGCATTTTGGGAAAGTCAACATTAATTTTCTCCTGCCTTAAATATGGCCTAAAGTCAAAATAGGTACTATATTATGGGACGAAGGGAGTAGTTTTTAAGAGAATTATTTGAAGTATTTATGGGAGGAAATTTGGTCTTTCAATTTTTTTACGGAGCTAATGATTATAGCTCATTTTGTTCAATGTTAATTAAATTTTGAAATGCTTTTTGGAAAATTTGTTAATGTGAATCTGAAGTAGTTGTAGATAATATGTACTCAGCATTTAAGTATAATATTCACTTCATCAAATTTTTTGAGTGTTTTTTTGCACTTCTAAGTTACTTCGCATAAGTTAGTCAAAATCACTTATAAATTACATATATTTTTAATTTATAATGTCAATTATTCTCTCCGTTCCAATTTAAATAATTTGTTTTGGTTTACGATGTTTTACTGAATTTATTTTCAAATCATTTCATATAAAAAACGCTATAGAATTAAGAAATAAAAATTACATATTTAAAAATAATACTCCGTATTAAAAGATCTACAAAATTAGTGGTGACATGAATATATAATTTTATCAAATAACTAAAGAAAGAAAAAAAAAGTGAATGATGTTTGACCCTATGAATAATAAATAGGTCATTTAGTTTGGGACGGATGAAGTATCTTCTATGTTTTATACTCTGTATATGTTAGTTATGTTGGTTATTTAATAAAACAGTATGGTAATGTTATCACTTGGTTAATAAATAATTAAATATCTGATATTCCATACAATTTTAAAAGGGAAAAAGAAATTACTCTAAATAAGAGATAAAATATAGATAAAGTATTAAGAGATTGCGTTGTGATAATGGGACACTGTATGTGGATATTTCACAATATTTTTTGGTATTATATCTTGACATGATTGGCATTGTATATGCAGCCTTTAATTGGCTAAAGGACTTTGCGTAAATTTTTTATCGCAGTTTTTTTTGTTTATTACTCCGGTATCTTTCAACAAGCGTGGTTGACTGTTAGGGGTGAGCAAATCCCGAATCGATACCGAAATTTTTCCAAAAAAACCGAGATTACCAAACTGAAAAATACCGAACCCATAAAATACCAAAAATAAAACCGTACCGTGCCGAACCGAATAGTCAGTCCGATATTTGGGATCGGTCCGATACTTCGGGATCGGTACGATGTAAAATCACATACCAAATCGAAATATTTAGTACGGTATCGCTACGAACCAAATACCGTCCTAGACCTGGCTTAATTTCACCAAAAAAGTTCCAACTGGAAAATGGTATTACTCCTAATCGCATCAGGATTTAGGAAAGGCGTCAAACGACTAACCTCTTTCCTCTTCCTAATTGCATCAGGATTTAGGAAACCTCTTTTCATCCACTCGGGATACATAAGCACGTACGAGATGAGTCCACTGTAATTGCACGAGAATCAATCACTGCAATCTTTCTGTAATGGCTTCTTCTTCTTCTTCTTCTTCTCCCCTGCTGATGCTTTCACTGAATCAACAAACAACATTCGTAACCCCGGACAAGAACATCATCTTCACCAACCCTGCAACAATCATCCCGAAAACCACCCCTGTCGGTTCCTCCCATGGATGGCTCATCCTCCTCTCCCACCAAACCTCCCAAGTCTCCCTTCTCAACCCCTCCGACCGATCCCGAATCCCTCTCCCCGACACATCCTCCTTCCCTCTTCTCTCCATCCGAAAAGCCGTCCTGTCCGCAAATCCCAGCACCAACAAAGACTTCGTCGTCTTCGTTCTGCACGGCGAGAATCCGCGAATTGCGTGCTGCAGGAACGGGGACAAGCAGTGGAGGAAAATCCGGGGCGGGCCCTACTACGACGTTTCTTGCTCGACGGGTTCCGTGTTCGCCTTGGGGGCCAAGGCATCCGTCCAGCGATGGGATTCGTCTAGTTTGAGGAAAAGGGGAATCCTCCGGCCCTCGTACCCCACAGGGCTACTCCAAGCCAGGGAGGAATTCCCTAGGGATCTCTACGCGACAAAGTGGTACTTGGTTCCCTGTAAATCCGGGGAGATGTTTTTTGTTGTGAGGTACATCGGTGAGTTTGTGACTCGGGACGGGAGAGCCGTGTACGAAGAGGCAATGCACGAAGGAGACAAGACGATAGGGACAGTCTGTCCATACAAAACGATGGGGTTCCGTGTTTTTCGGAGAGAACTGAGGACAGAAACATGGGAGGAAGTGAGATCTTTGGACGGTCGGGTGCTGTTTCTCGGGGGGAATCACTCGGTTTCCTTGTTGGGATCGGAGCATCCAAACTGCAGACCGGGTTGTATCTACTTCACGGACGATTATTGGGATCGGATCGACCGGGAGGATTGCCCCTATGGAGGCCATGACATGGGAGTCTTCTCCTTGAGAGATGGGAGTTTTCAACAGTTTGTTGATTTTGAGTTGCAGAAATTTTCACCACCTCCCATTTGGATCCTTCCCTCCTGAATCTAGTTAATCTGTTATTGTTATCTCATTGATTCCATTTTTTTTATTTATAGCAGTTTGTAATTAAATCCCCAACCCATGAAAAATAGCTTGAACTTATATGCATAGATCAATGAGATATGTGTGTAATTGTAAGAGGGCTATGATTCAACATGAGAATAAAACTGTGTTCTTGAGGTAAAAGAAAGTAAAAAACCAAGTAAATAAAGAATAAAAATAAATGGCGGGAACTGTTTGATTTGGATAACTTCAGCACCATCCAGTTTTCACCATTAACGGCTCTGCCAGTTCAAAAAAAGAAAAGGGGAAGATGTAAATTTCACTTGAATATTAGCAGCAGAAAAAGGAGTCACACTTTGTCAAGTTAAAAAACTCACTTCTGGTTCTGGCTCAGCTGCTTTTGGTGCAGTTGTTTCTTCCCCTTTGGAGTTCTCTTCCCCTGTACACACAGTAAATAAACCCATTTACTTTTTCCCAATTACCTAAACATCTCTTTGCGTTTGTTTATAGTGTTACGGACTCGATTACAACGTAGTGTCTGTTCATAAACACTTAACCAAGTACTCGTATTTGTTACATAACCTGCATTGCATAAAGGTTTGCACTACGTATGGAGTGGTATGAAGGGATACCTCCATCTTCTGGCATATCAGAAGTCCAGAGGGTAAGGTTGTCTCTCAACAGTTGCATGATTAAGGTACTGTCCTTATAAGACTCCTCATTCAAAGTGTCCAACTCTGCAATCGCTTCATCAAACGCCTGCTTCGCCAAGTGACACGCCCTGCACCCCCGCGAGTTGTTGTTTATACATACAATCAAAAGACATTGTGGGGAAGAAGAATTGCCAAATATTATTATCAAGAAAAGAGAAAAAAAACCCAATGCACTCTAATTAAGAAACCTTTCTGGGGAGTTCATAATCTCATAGTAGAAAACCGAAAAGTTGAGAGCGAGTCCAAGGCGGATGGGATGGGTAGACGCAAGTTCTGCACTAGCGATGGATGAAGCTGCCTGCGGGTCCAAAAAAATTGAAGGGATGAGCATCTTAATATGATCAAGCAATCAAAAACAACAATAAAGATTAATGAATGAATGAATGCCTCATAGCCTTTGAGTGATTGATCAGCAGCCTCTTTCTTTTCTTGCTCACTCTTGAACTCTGCCAGATACCTGAAATAGTCACCTTTCCTGCAAATACCAATCACAACAATTCTAAACTTTCAAACAAATTCTATCATTCTAATAAGATTCGCAGTCAGCGATAAGAGGAAGGGATGAATACCTAACTATCAAAATAAGGCACTCATTGCTTTTTATACCAAAATAAGACTTATAATGCCAAATAAAGCCGACCAGAAAACAATGTAAAAAGGCATTTCACCGTACCAACACTCAAAAAAATTCCACATAATAGAATGAATTAGGGAGGTTTCAACATGTAAATTGGAGGTAATGTGGGAAGAAATCAAATAAACATACATCTTGTAGTAGAAGACGGTGGCTTCTCCAGATTTGGAAGAAGGGATCAAGTGCTGGTCAAGGATCTGGAGGATCTGTTGGCAGATGTTGGAGAGTTCGTCCTCTACCTTGTCGCGGTACCCTTTGATGAGCCTCACGTTGGTCTCGTTCCCCTTGGACTCCTCCTTCTGCTCTATGGAGGACATGATCCTCCAAGAAGCTCTCCTCGCTCCGATCACGTTCTTGTAACCCACGGACAGCAAATTCCTCTCCTCCACCGTCAGCTCCTCCCCCGATTTCGCCACATTCTTCATGTACTCCACCATTTCTGCGAAGGGATCGCCATTCAGGAATAACAATCAAAATCAAAATCGAGAGAAAGGGATATGATGAAAAAAAAAACCTTCGTAGCGTTCGGCTTGCTCGGAAAGCTTGGCCATGTAAACGTGAGTTTCCCTCTCCTTTTCGGACGCCATGGTAAGGGTTTGATTGGTTCTAGCTTGGAGGGGAATGAGAAAAAAAAATACAGAGTAATTGGCAGGGGATTGAAATGGAAAGGGTTGCGAGAGAGAGAGGGGGGGGGGGGGGG